ATGAACCAAAACAAAGACAGACATGCCAAACGTAAGCCAGTGTTCTCTTGAGTCCACAAATATACAGCTGCTCTGTCAAGTGGCTGTAAAGCTTTCTAAGAAGCCGTCTCGTGTTCTGTAATCATTTTATTAGAGACGTAGTGGGCAGCTTGAACCCGCGCTTGTCACAGGACACACTGGGAGCAGCCTGCTGCAGCACACCGTGTTTCTTTCTCCTCACCTCCAGCGCATGGCACACGCTGTACCCTTGGCTCGGAATGTCCTTTCTGGGACATTGCTGCCTGATCTGTGCTCCTCTGTCAGAGCTTGGCTCCAACAAAACCCCCCAGCAGCCTTTCCTAATCCACACCCAGCTCCAGACAAAGTCGGCCCCCCACCATGAGTGATCTGGGCATCCATGTGTCACTGCCGGTGTCCCCTGTTCTGGGTGCCTATGTGTCACCGCCTGTGTCTCTGTCTGTAGAGGACGCTGGGGGCTCAAGTCGTCTTGTTCATCTCTGTACGTGACTCAGTGTAAACCTGTGCTGAGCCTGAAGAGGGGGGCAGGGGCGGATCACATGCCAGGCTCAGGAGGAAGGACACCATATGCGGGCAGTGGGGAGCCACGGAAAGCTACCTAGCAGGGAGAGACCCTTGTCAAAGCTAGTTTCAGAGGCCGTGAAGGCACAGAGTGAGGCTGGGAGCTGCCCATTGGCCCCCTGGAACAGTGACCGTGGCACTGGTGTTCAGAAGCCCTTCCTGCGTGCCCAGCTGGGCTCAGCTCAGCACAGAGTCCCCACTCCTTACACAGTCCTACTGCCCCCTCTCACAGCAGAGGACACCTATGCAGGGCTCTACCAGCTGTGCGCCACAGAGCCTGGGGGTGCTGGGCAACCCCCCAGGGCCAGAGTGGGGTTGTGAGGGAGCAGAGAGGTCTCGGGGCCCTACCACGCCTCCCAGCAGGGGTGCCCACCCCCTTTTCTGTTTTAGAGCTTAGGTTCTCCTCAGAGAAAAATTCCCTGGCTTAAAAGAGTTTGAACACCCCTGGGAAAGTGGGAGTAAAACTTCCACTTTGGGAATAGCTGGCCTGGGCCAGACAGGCGCACTGGCCTCCCCAGGCCCTGAGAGAGGCTGCGGACGGGAGGGAGCGGTGTGGGAGGTGGGCCACAGGAACTGCCCTTCCCAAGAAGCCAGGGAGGGCTGATTTCCCAGCCAGTCCCTCGTGCCAAGGTTTCCCTGACCCTCTTGCTGGCATCTTGGCCATGGCG